TCCAGTGCCAGTGGCAGTGCCATTGGAACAGGACTACTGCAAAGTCACAATTGCATAAATTTACCAAGGAACTTTGCATTTATCATAAAAGGAGACAGAATGCACAAGCGGTAAAAGTGCAAGGAAAATGTCATCTGCATTCGATTTCCTCAAAAACAACAAGTTTGTCTTGCGGCTAAATGTTGTAGAGATGTGTTATTATTTATTTAAAGAGCAAATTGAAGGATCATCATTATTTCAAATTAAATTTAATAGAAATCTTCAATATTCTTACTTCGATTATGAACTACAAACAAATTATTGTAAGCAAGTGCAATTTAACTCGAGTATTTATTTATTTACACCATTTTCCCCACCTTGGTTACTATGAAAATTAATTCAATGTAAATGGAAATGAAATGAAAAGCCAATCGGATAATCAAAAAGCAAATACCAAATACACATGTCATGGGGGGCCGCTGGCCAGTTTTTCACTCAAATAATTCCGTTTGCTTCGCAAAAGTGCACTTCAGCCGGAGGACAGATGGGACAGGACGAACCAAACACTTCAGTGGTTAAACAATGGATTCAGCCAATGGAGCTGCATAAATTTCATTCAATTCGGTTTGGGTTTTTGTTCAATTCTACCCTCCCTCCCGGCATGGCCATGTCACAAACGCTAAAACAACATGCACTTACAGAAAAAAGCCAGATACATCACTACTCGGCTACCCCGTAATGGCTCTCTGGATTGTTGAGAAAATAAACAAAATGCTTGTTGATATTTTGTGGCAGCCAATGAAGCAAACAACCTGCTGTCCATCCGTTCGTTCGTTCGTTCGTTCATCTTGTGCGTTGTCCATGGCATCCGGTTTTGGCCCCGCAGCGAAATCGACAAAGTCAACAAGAGATCGGAGACGGAACACATCCGTCCGGGTCACATCTGCCGCATAATTGCAAACTAAAACTGAAAATATGTGTGCCAAATGGGATGGGAATTGGACTCCATAGTTCAATATAAGCGGGAATTTGAACTGCGAGCTGAGCTATTGGATTTCAAGAGGTTTATCCTTCAAAATGTGCCATCGAAATGAGAATTTCACTTAATTAGAGGTGAGTTGGAGTATATAAACTAGATGAAATGAATAGTTTTTAAGCCAAACATTGCAAATAATATGTATAAACAAATTCCATAAACAAATTAATGGTAATGTGAAGAAAAAAACACTAAAACCTAGACTTAACCCTTGGAGATTTACTGCTTTTCGTTGGCCAGTCATCAATACCCACATCAAAGGAGCATATCTGAAAACCACTGCCAGATTGACATCTTCCTCCGGGACAAAATATACCAATTGCCGGCATTGTTGGCGACAGATTTTAGCCGCTTGTTAGTGGCTAACAGTGGCGTTCATAAATACACACACACCGCTAACGCTGAGAGCTGGGTTAGCATCGAAACCTTGTCACATGCTGGGAGCTACACCTTGAACCCGCTTTTGCAAATGGATACATTTTTTTTTTTTTTGTTCTGCGGGATTTCCCGCGTTTCCCGCACTTGGCAACAAAAGCAACGTTTACGGGAGTCACCGCAGTGCCAGGCACAAGGTAACATCGATACACATCGACACACATATCCCACATATCCCGAGCAAAACCAAAACCATATAAATAAACAAAGCTCTGGCAGACCTACGTCCTGTGTCCTGTGTGTCCTGTGTCCCTACGCACTTTGTTGCAGAGCGAGGAGTCAGGAACCAGAGGCAAACTGTCGAAACTGTCAGGATGTCAAATAAGCGACAGTGGGTGGCGGACAGCAGGAAGTGCGCTAGGTTCGTGTCCAGGACTGAACACGACCAGGACCAGCAGCAGGAGGACCGGCAGCCATATCAGGATCAGGAGCAGAGTACCACGGACAACCCTAGGCATATTTATTGGAAATCTGAAACAGCTCGAATGACTACACTTGAGGAAAATGTCAGTAACTTAACAAATATCTTTAATATTAATAATAAAAAGAGGGAATCGAAAGCAGAAGTTTAGTAGAACCTTTTTAAAATATAACTAAGGATCTCTAAACAGAAATATAGCAATATATTCCTAAATTCTCCAAGTTTAGAACCTCACCAATATATTTCCTTAACAGTAATCTTTATTAAATTGATGGAAATGTATTATCAAAATGATTTTCAAGTGCAATTTCCCGCCCACTCTAGTGGCAGCAACTCCTGACCATGTATCCATGTCCGGCAGAAGACACAAAGAATTTGTTACATGAAATTGTTAACGGGCTGAAGCCGATGCCTCGACTCGACTGCGTTTGATGCCTTTTGCTGATATATGGCCAACCTTTGACATCCTTTAAACGAGCAACATGATGCTCTAGATTATGGCCAAGAGATTGGCTTGGGCTTCCCCCGGTTTGGTTTTTCCCCGGATTGTCTCACTTGGCCGGGCGATACGTCAATGTGACAGTTTGATAATTTATTTTGTTCAAATTTTGTTTTTCCCTCTTCGCTGGGGCGGACGAACGTCGCTTAAATAAGTTATCAGCACGAATGGAGGCCCATATAAATGGCAGCACGTAAATTAATGAAATTATTTTGCAACAAATTAAGGCAAATTTATGCGTCAAGACGACAGGACAGGTCCTGGGATTGGACGAGGAGGGAGTCTTCTTGTTTTTTTTTTCTGATTCCTTGGGAAATTCTGGAGGTGGAGTTGCTTGTAACAGGAAACGCAATCCACAGGCAAACAAACAAAAGCGAAAAACTGAACGGAACGGAACGAAACGTAACGTAACGAAAACCGACCGAAACAAACAAACAAACAAACAATGAAACGAAAACGGCAGCCTTTTGGAAGAGTGAAAAGTGAGGAGTTTTCCTTCAGCGAAATCTGAGCAAGGCTTTTGTGCAACAAAAGTGAGGCACCAGGACTACCCTCTTTTCGCCCATTTACCCTCTTAAATGGGGGTCTAACCGGGATCACTCTGCACTGCTACACATCGAGAGATATATATATATCTACATACATATATATTTTTTTATTTCCTCTTCCTCATACCGCCCAGCCACCCGTTTTGCTGAATCAAATGTCAATAGAGAGTACATTTCATTCATTCGGGTGATGCTTTTCCCGCTTTTCCCTCACCCCCACCCCGACTTTTCCACTCCCACCAGCATTGTAGCTGTCACAGTGTTTGTTTGCGGATTTGGAGCTTTTCCTCTTTGCCAAAGCGATTCTTTACCACGCCTTCCCCGGATTCCCTTACTATAAGGTTCTCTAGGGTCTCGGGAAAATGAATATCAGAATATAGAATCAAATAGTTCCCAAAAGAAAACCATATCATATTTTCTTAATGAATAATAGTTTAATATTTTATGCTGAAAGTATTCAAATTAAATGTGAATTATTTCTTGTTAAGCTAATCTTTTCTTGATCCAAATCTATCATTTAATTCATAAATTAAACAATTTTCTAGTGATCTAGTTCATATTTAAAGTTTTCCTTAAGACTCTTCCCCATTTAGGGAATTGAAAATTCGTTATGATTTTCCCTGAAAACCCTAATCTGGTTTCTGGCTTGAATTCTGGTTTTATTTTCGAGCATCTCCTCGAAGCTCCTCGATTTTTGCCTTCCCCTCAAACCCATCTACTGGAAGATGCTCTTGCTTTGGTTTTTATTTGCACGGAAATGTATAATTTTTCCGAGTCAAATGTAAATACTTTTAGCGTATTTTTGGTGGATTTCAATGGTTGGCAGCTCGCCTCAGATTTTCATTTTTTTTTTATTTTGGAAATGGGGGTCTCAGTTTTGGGGAGGCGTGGCACATGCGAATGACACGCCTGATGCTGCGTAAATAATTTTAGCGCTCTTTCTCTCGCTTGGCATAAAATGCAAAATAAACATTTTATTTCAAATGCTGCCTTACCCTGCTGAAAATTCCTTTTGCCAAATGTGGGTCAAATGGTGTCCAACAAAAGGAACTTCCATACCAAAAGCCAGATGCCGCAAATACAGTTTAATTGTACAATATATATATGTATAAATAAATCGGATGTGGTTCCACTCAAGTCGGTGGAAATGTCACGTTTCAAGAGCTCAATTTTGGGTTTTCGCGATACCCGAAGGAAAGTGTCCGGATCCAATTAAATTTTCTTGAAAGCCGAAATCTCGATTTGACAATTTATGCATCCTTGTGAGACATCGGTCGCATATATTTATTCCCATCGAAGGCTAGACAATGACGCCTGCGGCCCAATAAATAACGCTCCCCTCTGACACAATCGAAATTGGCTCGCAAACAAATTTCTTTTGGCCAAAGATAAGGTCGAATTTCTGTACGTTATTTTGAAGTCAAGTCGCGGCAAAGGTCAAACACTTAACCCGCGTTGTGGCGAGAGAATATAGAAAAAACTGACATCAAATTATGGAATGCATGGCGAAATCTCTGCCATAATCGTAAGCAATCTAGTAGCCATGGTAACCATTCTTTAGAATGGTAAGAATATAAAGTGTACTCAGGAAGATTAACTTTTTAGAAAGCAAAGTAGGTCTGAGTAAAATAAGAATATACTAAATTTCGAACAGTTTAATTTGTTTATATTGAATTATTTGGAGGGAAATACATGCTTAAATAAAATAAAAATACCTTTAGAACGCACTAATTTTCACTCAAATTAATAATCCTAAAGACGTAAGTATGTTCCCTTATTCCGTATGGTATTTATTACATTACTATTTTACTATTAACATTACTATTTATTTCCCTTTCATTTTCTAATCTAGTGGCCACAAGTTTTGAAACTTCAAAAAGCAAAATCACTTAACTTCAAATCTAAAATGTAAACTCTCATTGTATACCGAGACTCACACCAGGCAACATAAACTATTTTCAACAAAACTTAATAGCTTAAATATATGTGGAAATTTTGGAACAAATTCATCCAACGAAGCTAATACAAATTTAAAGCTGTATTACTGTTAATTTCAAAAATATAATATAATAAGCTACAATAATGAATTCAAAAAGGGTATCCTTCGATCTAATGAACCTGGGACGTCCCGTTCACACCGATCCCTTTGAGATGGATCATATAGACAGCCAGGAGACGGGTCTAACGGAAACATATATCAATACACTTTTGCCCGATAAGTTACTCAGAGAGAAGCTGGTCGAGGAGGCTAGGAAATATCATACCGATTTCTTTGTGAGGGATCCATCCAGTTCGGATGAATCGGATGACTATGCCTTCCCGGAGACAGTAAATGAGCAAGTGCGACGGCTGTCCTTCGCCAAGCGAAGGAGATTCCATTATACGGAGTTTGCAACTGTGGAATTAGCCCGACGGCTAATCTGTGACGAATTTGCCTCGGAAAGCAGCAGTTTGAAGAGCGAGGATAGTGCCTTCCGGTCCGAGAAGGTAGAGGAGGAGTGTTCACCGTGCTGGGTCCAATCGACGGAATCCTATCCCTTCCTACAGTATGAACGGAACACAGGTTTGTCGCAGGGATCCGATGAAAGTGCTCTCAAGGAGGATCCAGAACCTGGGTTTGATCCGAGCCATCCTTGCTATCGAAAGCTCGTGGGGCAACTTAGTTGGCCGGCCTCACCGAAAAAGGAAGCCACTCCAACTGCAAATGAGCTAATCACAGCGGTTCAGTCGTTAAGCGCATTTCTTCAGCCAAGGGACGTCTCACATCTGAAAAATACAGCGACAGATGTCAAGGACTTGCAGGAGACACTGGATCGGCATACCCGGGTCCTGGATAAGGGCGGAAAGTGGGACCCACAGCAACCAAATGAGAACCTATTCATGCCGGATACACCTGGGAAAGGCACCCGTGCTCATAGTCGAGCGGGAAAACCCGGAAAACCAGCGGGATTTCGTTCTGTATAGTCAACAATATAGACAACAATGCCTTGGATCGGTATGCATTTGATGATTATCTTGAAATTATCTTGTTTAATTCAATTTTAATAATATTGTTAATGTTATGGTATCAGTTCAATAAATGAACGATGTGCAACTTATTGAAGGTTTCATAAACAATTTACAAAACATTTTAAGCTCTTTTACCTTGCGCATTCTGTGAAAAAGTAGTATTCACTATATAGGGAGTATGTCTTGTAAAAGGAAAAGTACTTAAAAACCGGAAGTGATACTAAAAATCATTGCTGCTTATCGTTAGTAGTTTGTTTTTACGTTCCAACACATACTAGCTCATTTTAATCCCTACTATCAAAACATTCAAACTAATTTAGACACCAAATAACCGTAATCGCCTCTGATCTCAAATGACTCCATCTAAGCGTTTCTTGGCCAGCTTAAAAAAAATAGTTTTCTCAACCCAAAAGACCACACAATTATTTGGGGCCATAAAAGAGACCCAACCCATACATACAAGCTTACATATAAAGAGAACATAGAGGAGAGTGTGTGTGTGTGGGAGGACATTCAGAAGGGTAACTAAGTGTGCAGCAAGGATAATGACACATAATGGGTTGCCTTCGCTACCCTCAGAGTGAAGAAGGAATTAGAGAGCGAAGAGAGTGGCGATTTAAGTATTTTATAAAGTTTTAAAGCTAAGTTATTTCTATCGAGTTTTGGCTTTTTGAATGCTGAAATAAAGCTTATTCAACAGGAAGATAAGAATTGGAGTACGGCCAATTAGTAGACAGGATAAATTGTATTAACGTTGTTAAATTAGTAAATTAAATCAGAAACCTATGAAACAAATTTTCCTCATAAAACAACAAGCATGTTTCATTTTTAGGGATTCAATAATTAAGTTATTTTACATTGATTGTCATTGAAATAAAAACCATGGAAAGAAACTAACTTTGGGAAGCCGAGGCTTATATACCCTTGCAACTTGCAGTTGAATTACATGATTAAAGCGGAAATTAAGCCTAAAAAATTTGAATTTTGTGAAAAGATAATAATAGATATTTATATATTCCTATTTTCCGACAAATAGAAATTTAAAAAGTCCATAACTAGGCCAAAATAGCATTAATTTGATACGGAGAACTTTCCCATATTAGCTTTTATTAGTTTAACAAATATACGTACTCATTTTAAAATTTTAAAAATTTCAAATTTTTTCACTTTTTTTGACCATTTTAAGAATGTAAAAATTTTGAAAATTTTTCCCCTGTTGATGCTGATCAATAATATATATGATTTATAGGGTTGGAAATGACTCCTTCACAGCGTTTCCAGCTTCTCATTCAAATTGTTATACTATTTCCACCAGAGCGTATACGTAATTTTTGTGACTTCGCTCAAAATGAAAAATTATAGCATACTTTTGAGCGGAAGACCGGAAACCTAGTTTAAACTGAAATCATTTGCTTTTTAGCTGCTAAATTGGTTCCCAAAATTTTTTATAAATAACCATTCTAACGAAATTTTTAAATATTTTAAATATATTTTTTATACCAGTCCCAAAAATTACGTATACGCACTGAAGTAAATAATATTTGATCATAACTAAGCCAAAAAAGCATTAATTTCAATTCGGAAAACTGTTCTGTGCTAGTTTTTGTTAGGGTTATAAATCTGCAAACTTAGTTTACAAATTTAAAAAAATCAAAAATTTCTACATTTTTGAAAATTTTAACTATAAAATATAAACTTATAAAATTATGAAAAAATTTTGAAAATTTGTTTTCTTTCAAGAATAGCTAGATACATTCCCCTTTTCATGCTGATCAAGAATATATATGATTTATAGGGTCGGAAATGACTCCTTGACATAAATTCAAGCTTCTAACTAAATTAAAATACCTTGTAAGGTATATAAGAAACATTTTTATTCGACTCTCATTGACATATTCAATTTCTAATGCCAAAAGTGCCACAGAGCACAGCTGAGGCAGCGTCGAATTTTTGCTAATTTAACGTTCCTCTCGGCCATGAAATGGAAATAAATATCACGTCATACGATCTGCAGTGAAAATCCCCGCACGGCTAATGAAGACTTTGTTGTCTGAGCAGGATAAAGCCGTTCCAGAATTTGTCTAGACATTTTCGGTTGCTTGAACCCCCGACTTGTGGTTGCAGCCTCAGCTGCCAGGCGTCTCAAGTTCAAAGTCAGAGTCGAAGATATTTCAATCCGTACTTTAGCACATTGCGGGTACTTTTATGACATTTAATTACCATTTGCTTTTAGTCCACACAGTGTAGGGGCTTCTGGGAGTCCTAAGTAGAGACCTTAGTTTAATATTCATTTAAAGGACGATAGAACGCAAATATATACAAAACTGGGTAGCATAACATTTGCATTTCTGGCTTATTTTGATAAATATATATATATTAATCCTTCCATCTATATTAAAACTACATAACTTTTGGTAGTGCTTTATGACTTGAAGAAAAGTTTAATTCAAATATTCATCGAAATCAATTGATTTAATTTCAATTTCGAACACTCCTACTCTTTAGAAAGTTCTCGAATTTCAGCTAGATAGATTTACTAATCTGAAATTCCAACATTTTATTATTATTATCCTTTAATTCACTTAATCAAGGGTATCTTCAAGTACTGACATTAACCTTTTGCAATTCGATGTTATTTTTTTGGTGGCACACAAAGTGGCTTTGTCATGCCGACGAATCAAGGCGAGTGGTTTGCAAGTGCCTCGTCCTAATCATCATCCAAACATTGTGGCCAGTCATCGTGACTTATGTCAACCCTATCAAGTGTGTCCTTGTACGCATTGTGTTTGTGTTTGTATGTATGTCTTCGAGGATGACAAATCCATTGTCCAGTGCATTCCACATGGTTTTAAGGGGACTTGTGGATAATGTCCTGCGAGGGCAGAATAATTATCATTTCTGGCCATTGGGTAATCACTAATGAAATGTGGATGATTGTTAAGTAATTTTCATTTAATCTTGAGTAATAATAACAATTTAATTAATAAAATTTAATTTAAACTAATGAATACACAGAAGTGACCCTAGGTGGCTAAATTGATTGATTGATTTGCACCATTCGGTGGCAGCTATGATACAGTTTACCCTTTTTGACCGACCGCCATCGAGCGTGAAGCTGTCAAAACGTGGTCTGTCGCCCGAACTAAAAGGTATCCATAAAATATGACTTTAATCCGAGGGTCACGTGCCATGAGTGTTGACCCCAGGAGGAAACCGAAAATCATAACTCAATGTCGAGCTAACCAAGTGCAAAGCGCGAAATTAGTTTACACTTGAACCCTGGCCCACCTGTCCCAATGTGCCAAAAGCCCCTCCACCAGCTCTCTGGCATATTTTCACTACCTTTTCCCCCGATTTCATCTCATATTTTTCACCCACTCTGTTGTTGGCCTTCTTCTCCTTTTTTTGCTGCAGTTCCAGTTGCAGTCGCATTCGTGTTCATGCATAAACAAAATGGCTGCTGCAACAACCGGAAACTGACAGCAAACGACATTTGCGATATGCATCATATGTCTCCCACCATTTTCCTCCCCTTCTTCCTTTTCTTTCTCTCCTTTTTCGCTGTCATTTTCGGGTGTGCGGGGGTGTAGGCAAGTCAGCTACTTGGCATATTTCTGTCGTGTCATTGTTTCTCGTTCGTCTTTTTTGCAGCAGCAGCAGCAGGAGCAGGAGCAGGAGCAGCAGGACCCTCAAACTCCTCATGCGCCTGGAACACCACGCCGTTCGCTGTCTGCGACTGTTAGCCTTGCAGGTGCAATTATGACGGCGCCATCGCATCGGTGTCTCTCACGGAAAATGGGCTGGTGTTTGGGGTGGAAAAATGACAGACAGCAGGGGTATATATGTGTGTGAGTGTGTGTGTGGCAGTGTCAGCGACACATAAACATTACATCATCAGGTAACTTTTTGCAACTGTCATAAAATGCCAGAAACAGCAAACAGAGACTGCGACATACAGGAATTTGTTTATAAGGCTTTGAATAGCCTTTAAGGTTTTCGGAATATCTACAATTTAATTAAAATCTTTCCAAATGTAATATTTAATAACGTTACCTTTCCGTTATGGATTATGAGTTTAAATTATTATTAGTTTGTTTAAATATTAAAATTAATTATCTTACATCATTATTAACTTCAAAATACTCTTTTTGTTAAACTATTTCCTTATAGAGCATCAAATTGGGCATGCAATAAATGGTCAGACTAAAATAAAAATATGTTACATGCTGGCAACAAATGAATGTTGAATAAAACAACGACAGCAAGAAGAGCAGAGCACACATATCCTGCCTTAGCTAGGACTAAAGTGAAACCTCTCTTTAAAATATCCCTAAAATACTTTACAATATTTTATGCATTGATCTAAGCCAGCAATAATTTGTTGGAACAAATTTACAGATGTAAAGTAGCTTGATATTTTTGCCCTGTTAATTGCCATCAAACTTTACAACCTAAAAAATAGCAAATAGTAATATATTAAATTTTTAATGATATATTTTCTTTTATAGATTTAACCTTTTAATATAAAATTACATTTATTTTGGGTATGACTATACTTTAGAAGGGCCACTATCCTGTTGTTCTCAATATCTGTGCCTTCTTTTGGCGCTTTTTCCACTGCCGTTGCTGTTGCTGCATTTCCGGCTGCTGCTTCTTGCTAAGCCGGCATGCTAAATCCTTAAACCACCGCCCACTGGCCCCACCGCCCACCGCCATGTCATGGCTCTAATGAGCTGTGTGTGGGCCTTCTGTGTGTGTGTGGGTGTTTGTTTGTTGGTAAGTGTGTGTGTGTGGGTGTGTGTATGTGTATTTGTTGCATTGTTGTTGACGTTTCAGCTGGCATATGATGCTTGTTAGTGAGTTTTTCTCGGAGCTGTTGTGTTGCTTCTTTCGCTGTTATCCTTGCTGGTTGTGTGTGTGTGTGATCCCCCGGTCTGAGTTGAAATATTTTCATG